AAATGTACCAGGCAGAGTGGGAAGGATCCATAACCCCTAAACTGAAGCCTCGGGTGGGCAACTAAAGAAACAGTCAGCACTAGCTGAACAATGAGTTGAGGGGCATTAGGTGAAGACCCCTTTGCTCAGCCTTTCCTGTCCCGCCCCCCGATGAATTTATAGACTGCCACAAGATCCCCTCTCAGCCATCATGGGAGCATGATGATGGGGGTTAGACACACCAGACACCTGATTCTCCTGTCATTTATGGACATGTAACTTTGGAGCAACTTCACTGAAGCCACTGATGTTAAACTGGCATGTGGGGATAATCAGTATCATTATATTTGTACACAAATACCACTACTGTACATGATGTTGCTTGTGCCTATGATATCTTGTTTGACAGTGGTGTAACACCACTGATTCAACAGGTATCAGAAGAGTTGGAATAGGGCTTCTTTTCTTTGTAAGCTCTCTCTCTAGAGCTATGGTGGCAATGCAAATGGGGAGACTAGAAGATAGTAAGCAAGAACAAGCAAAAGGAATCAAGAAACAGATCATGAAAGGACAGAGATTAGTTTAGATTTTGTCCCCATTAACCTACATTCTGTTGCATTTCCCCTGTCAAAAAGGGGAGATGAAAGCAGGAAATTTCACTTTATCTTGGGTTGGTAGTTGTCTTGAGGCTGAATGCAGCCCTGGGGTAGAAGCATGTGAATCTCCTTCCCCCTACCATATAAGCTATTCTGTGTGGGGGAAGGTGGGGGGGGGAGCCTTGCTCTTTTTTTCATGTGAAATATGCAAAAGCTACAAGGAAACTGAGCTGCTTATATTTTTCCAGATTGCCTTAGGGTTTCCTGGAATTTTTGCTACTGTACATTTATTTAAAGTAACCTTATATGTTTAAGAACATGCTGATCTTTGGTTGCTACTGATCTGTAGTTGTGTAAGCAAAATCAGAATCAACCCTGAGAATTTCTTTTGCTTGCAGTCATTTTTGCACTGTCAAATAATCCTCTCCCCCCCACCCCTCCAGGTTGACCTTGCTAGTATCTGGTGACTGTATGGTAAATGGCAACACATGTAGTCCTAGCCAGGGAGAAAAAGTTATGATCCAGACTGATACAAGCATTGTGATCTACTGTCAATCTTCTCAAAGATCACAGAGCAATCTGTTTCTAAATTAAGGTGGATATGAGATAAATACTTTGTTTTTCTTGACTGCTATTGTATTTTCCCTGGCATTAAAGCAGAGACTGTTACCGCTTTGTGGCTTTGTCTCTGCCAATTATGAACTAAAATAACATCAGCTGATGCAGCATCACAAGCCAAAACCTCTTTTGCTTCTTCACAGCTATATTGTTAATGAATATTAAGTAGCTGTAATGACTCATTAATGCAACTTTAATACCTCTTTGCAACCCTATTGTCAACCAGTTACTGAAGAAATAAAGAAATAAGGGTTCAGTCTCTGTGCCTTACTCATACAAGTAGTTCCATTAACTTTAGTGGAACTATGCACTTAATTGAGGACAGTGTGCATACAACCTTGGAAAGACTCCTCATATTCTCTGTTGTCCATCATATATAAATCTGCTGTGTAATCATCATCATTATATACCTTAAATAAAAACAAAGTCTTTTGTAATGCTATTTAGGACATTATGTATTACCTAAAATCAATTTAATCATCCAACCAAGTGAGTACACAACAAATGGAATTCATTAACATTTTTGTTGGCGCTCTCAGTTTCACAATAAACATATTTTTGTTTGTACAACATGTGTCTATCATGAAAATATTTCCAGGAAAAATAAATGGTTCAAATGGACAGCTTTTTGTAGATCATTCAGTGCATTCTCTCTTAGATATAACAAATAATACTGATATAAATTACAACTGGTAAAATACTAAAAGCTTTTTAAAAAAAAGCTAAAATGATTTACTATTTTTATTTTTTATATATATATAGTCTAGACTTTATGTAAGCCATTGTTAATTAATACTGCCCTTCTTGATGGCTTTGCAGAAAGCATAATTCAAACAAACCAATTATAAATGATTTTTCAAAGTAAACTTTAACAATGTAGCCCAAGGGCTTGCTGAACATAAAAGTACAATTTAGAAAACATAAGTTTTAACTAAGGTCAGAGATATATCAGGCAATGATGGATGTAGACGTAAAAGCATCCGACATTGGAATGACAACCTTTCCTTGAAGACTAAACAAAATGCTAGTGGCAGTGATAAATAGATACAAAAAAATATACATCAGTGAAAGAGTCGGAAGGGGTTTCTTTTTGAGGTTTTGCCAACCAAAATGCAACTCTACTAAAAAAGCAACTACTACTGCCAAGTGATCTTTGTACTCATTTTGACAGCAAGACCTTAAAGAAGTCAAATAACATCCCACAGTTGCACATGGTCTTGGTTTTCAGATGAAAAGAGTTGCAGATTCTTTTTTCTCTCCTTCCAGTGTTTTACTAGAGCAACTAAAACACAAGCTGTTGCAGTCCTGGTGAAGCAGTCCCTGCTGGACAGTTACCAGGCTTCTGCACTTGGGCTGCATGCCCTAGGACCATGTCCTATACACTTCCTTTGGTCCTCATAGTATGCAGCACTGACCTCTCTGATGCACCTCTTGGGCAGAGTTCCCCTGCCTATTTCACCCTTTACAGAAATGAGACCTCACACTGTAGCTCACTTGGGCCCCCAACTTGGACTAACACATCCAGGCTTCCCAGTAGTTTAAGAACAACTTCTATTGAGTTTCAAGAATTTCATTCTCATTTTACAGTTCAACTGTCCAGGGGCACATGACAGCAGAAACTAGTAGTCTCACAGGTTTTGAAAGACTCAAAAGGCTCACTCTTACTACAGAGAGCATAAGAGATATGCAGTCCTGAACAAAACCATGACAAAACTTGTAGGCATTTCCTTGTCCTCCATCTCTTAATCACTCATTTGTTCTATAGGCTTAGATCAGAGTACTTCAAGGAGTTCCCTCCTGCATAACAGTCTCCTCTAAATCCTGGAGTTTCTTTTTTGTAGTCAGCCTCCTTCTTCCCCAACTGGTGCCACAGTTGAAAAGCAGTCCATTATTATGAAACCATGTCCCTCTCTTCTTCTCTCCTACCCAGGTTTCCTTTGTCTTAGTGAGCCCCTTCAAGTTTTTAAGACCTTGCTCTGACATGTGATCTCTTTGTTCATTACTGCAGATTCTATTACTTAGCAGGGAGAGATGTTTTATCTATGATGCACTTTTAGTCTTTTTCTTTTATCCCCTCCTCCCTCATGCCCCTCTAAAAGCTGTACAGGTATTGGTAGTCTTTGATGATTATCCAGTTAATAGACAATGTCACGGCGGGGTCCTGCAGGAGGGCCGCGATCTCCTTAAGGCCCTCTCTCCGTGCTAATTCGGTCCAAGGGCACCCTCTATCCTCACCCGCCACGTCTTCGATGTTCAGTATATATGTTGGGAGGCTGCCTTATGTCTCCTCGGCATGGTTAGCTGGGACTTCCGTCCCCGTATTCTCCCGGACCCCACCAGGGGTCTCCCGGTACACTGGGTGCGTTCCAGGCAACCTAGCCTTATGGGCTACACGTGGCTCCTACCAACCCCTAACACCACGCCCCAAGCCTCGCAGATGTACTGGACGTTGGTCTGTCAAAATCAACTTGCCCACTCTCCCGGGCCTTCTCTGTTGTACTGCCCCCTCCTGAGCTCTCCGAGCCCACTTGGGGCCTTCCTGCAATGTCGCCCCCCTTCTCTGGGGTCTTCTCTAAAATAACCTAGCCTGCTCCGGGACTTGCTTCCGAGTCTCCGGTCCTCTAGGCCCACCGCACTGCTACCCTCTCTTATGCGGGCTCACCGCACTGCTATCCCTTTTAGCCAGGGACCACCGTAGCACCTTGCCCTGCTCCTGGGGTGCCGTACTGCTAACCCCTTTCGTCAGGGCCCACCGCAGCACCTTACCCCTGTCTGAGGTCTACCGCTGTGCTAACCTTCAACCGGGCACGCTACGCCCGCCTCGGGCTCCTCAATAAGGCGCTCCCCCTCTTCGGGGCTCACTGTGCCCATGCTGGGGCTTCTCAATAGTCCCCCCTTTCTCTGGGACTCTACACGCCCACACCAGGCTCCCCAATAATAATGCCACCCCCTCTCTGGGGCTGGCTGTGCCCACGCTGGGCTCCCTAATAGTGCTGCCCCCTCTCTGGGGCTCGCTGGGCTTCTCTGAAGTGCTCTCTCCCCTTCCTGGGGCTCACCACGCCCACACTCAGGCTTCCTAGTAGTTTCCCCCCCTGGGGCTCATCATGCCCATGCTGGGGCTTCTCAAAACACCCCTCTCTGGGGCTGGGGTCTACACACCCCATAAGTTGCACCTTTACTGGCACTGGGGTCCTCACACTCTCTTGAGAGTCCCCAATGAGGCCTCCTCCAACCCCTAATAGCTTCACCCAAACCACCAGTGTAATACAAACATTAACAACACAAAACACAAGCTTCCTGGCTATAACTTAACTTGAAGCCGCCTGGCTATAACAACATCATTGCAGTCTCCAAAGCCACTTCCCTTCAGTCTGCTCAAGCGATACTCACATCCTTACCCCCTGCCCCTCTGGCTGCTAGCAGGAAACTGCCAACCTGGCTTACGCCCTGGGTTTTATAAGGGCCAGGCCCTGCCTCCTACAGGCAGCTGATTCACATTAGTTGCCCCGGCAACCCACACCTGTACTCCCTAATCACCACTAGGGCTCCTTATGCACTACCAGAGCTTCTCCCCTGCCAGTTTTCCCCTCTCTAGGAGCAGGGCAGCGAGGTGCGCCGCGACACATAGGTAGCTGTGTTAGTCTGAAGTCAACTAGAAGGCAGGGTAGATTTTCACCTTATAGATTAACCAAGGTAGAGATTGTGTGTGTGTGTGTGTGTGTAGCACAAACTTTTGTGAGCTGTGGCTCACTTCATCAGATGCTGTGAACTCTGCATTTGGCTAGTCCATAAGGTGCAAATCTAACCTGCCTTCTATTAATACATAGACATGCCAGTGCTACTCTTCTTTCCCCATAGGACCAAGGAGCATGAGGACTAAAAACAGTCAGTTCTATATAATAAAGACAATCAAGAAGTGTTCAAAAGCTATCAGTTCCTCCAGTTATCACGTAAGTCCTAGGTCACTAGTCCTAGGTCAATAGTATCTCAAATAAAACCCAGTAAGGAATTAATTTCCAGGTAAGCAGAGTTAAGATTCACTTATTCTACAGTACATCCTCGCATACAGCAAAATAGTCATTACCATAATGATTTGATATTTCTACATACATTCTAGCTACTAGCCACAATGAGCAAACTGGTGCTTGCGTAGCACATTATACACAAATACAATACATGCAACAAGTAGCTTGGTCAACACCCAAGAGAATCTATTATGATAAACCAATCAGAAGCTGTGTCAACAGATGACCTCAAACAAAATCTGAATGAATTTGGGTATTTGAATGCCTTTTTGATGAACGGCTCTCTATGAAGATTCAGATAACTGCCAACTGCATTTGTCCTTCATCTACAACAGGTCTGGTCAAGTTCTGAGTATCCATGGTGGCATATTGCCCTGCCCCAACACCCCACGTGGCTACAAGCTACACTGGCACCCCTGGACTCCATCATGTATCACGGGCCTTTCCTGCCATGCTACATGGATTCCACCCCACACAGGGTCTCCAGTTCCTGGAGACCTGGATTCCTGGATTAGTTCCCTGGATTCCTCAGCTGTGTGGGCTCCCTCAGCTCCATGGGATGTCCCCAGGGGTGAGGGCAGGCAGGAGAAGGTGGAGGGGGAGCCCAAAGACTGGCAGCAACAGCAAGAGAATGGAAGGAGCAGCCCCTGAACTGGGAGCCTGGAGACTGCAAATGGCCCACAGGCTTCTACTCAGACTACAGCAGTCAGAACTCTAGCCTTAGTACACAGTCCTAACCTGGACTGAAGCCTGCAGTTGCTACTATAATAGAAACAAATAGTTTAGCAGGATTAGTAATATTTGTCACTTCTGCTACTATCATTTTCAGGGCAGAGTTAAAAATAGTTATATGGTTCCAGTTAGGAGGTCTGCCTCCTAATTACATGAATGGGATTAACAGTCATATTTCTTCTTCTTATGAACTCTTCTTTAAATACTTATTTAAAACCCAGCTCTGTGTTGGAGTACTGTGTGATGCAGAAAGAGGGCAAGTCAGCAGCCTGGTATGTAGGTCTAGTGCTAGCACTCACAATGAAAACCAATAAATGATAAACACATGCAAGTAGAAGCCTTCTTTAATAACACCCCCTGCTTGTTTGGTTAGTAGTCTTAATGATTCTTGTTTATGGGATCTAACTCTGTTGCTGTAAAGGAATGATAATTTATGATGTCACAAGAGATTATGACATTGTTTGGTAAACTAGAGGTGTGAAGTGAAAGAGGAAGAGTATACTCTGAGTCAGAGCATCTTCTCTCGAAATACATGAAGTCAAAAAGCCCCTGTAAAGATAAGAAACATGGGATTTGATATTATTCTGTGCTAGATGTAAATAACCAAACAACAACATATGACACCAAATCAAGACAGATTAAATAGAAAGAATCACATACGTTTCTAGTTACAAAATAAACCAATTTAGTATATATTAGTAGCTGATGTACTCATCTTCTGGTTTGTAGCTGTCATCCCTATTTGGCTATTTAATTCATAGTTGCACTTTGCTATAAATGGTGAGCTCTGCATTTCATGGTGTTACCTACCTAATGTAAACATGACCTTAGATTATGCCAAAGCATGTTGAGTTGTAACATGTTCTGCAGGTTAACAAGCTACAGTACACTTTGGAACCGTATCACAGATGGAAAAGAAAGGAAGAAAAAATCTCTTATAGATCAGGTATACATATCCTACAGCAAAGGGCTTTCTCTGCATAGAAAGGGCTTTCTTATTAACTGTGTCCAGATTGAAACTCTCTGAAAATAGGAAAGGAATCAGGCCTTATATGGAATAGGCCTACCCTCTTGTTTCATTTAAAGGGTCTCTATTGACCCCAACACACTCACAAGAGGCTAACAGCTTCTGGAGCAACCACTGGAAATGGCTTGACCTCTTCCCAACCAAAAGAGCAGTTGCTGCACAATCACCTTGCCTCCTTGCTTTCCTTGGACGTTTCAGCAAGAGTGGGCATCAGAGGTAGCTTCCATCAGTTGACCCAGCATTGGTTTGGCTTTTCCTACTCCTCTTTTCAGCTGCAGGAGGAAGCAGAAGTGATAATCTCTTTAGAATCAATACTTAACACCTATCTGTCACGTGATATTTGCTGCATTCCAAAGTGATTAGTGCAGTGAGACTCACCGTGCAACATTACCATACGTGAAGTGAAATTGAGGGATAGTCTGTCAAAATGTACCTAAACAATGGAACTGTCTATCCACTTTCACCAGAACTAGAGTTACAGCGTATTAGAATTCATTATGAGTCCTCATTGGATCTGTCCCTAAAAGCAAGATCTGGTATCAGTCATCATCATTTCATTAGTAAGAGCCAAATAAGATTTAGTATTTTATAATTGGTGAGCCCTAGTAGGTAGAGAACTGTACTGTACTGCCACTGAGAAACCTCAGTTTCTATTTCATGACCTTCTGGGAATTCCTAGCCAAGTCACATTGTCTCTTTGTGGCTCCTTTTGTAAAATAGAAATGACACTCTTCTGTGTATAGTGTTTTGAGATCTACTGCTATACGATTATCCACTTTCTATTAAAACGCCCTGAAATTTTATTATACAGAATTCATAGTTGCCAGTTAAAAAATGTAAGTAATCTAAGTACAGATGTTTCAGAATTGTTTATAATATATTTGGTTTGTCTGCTTATTTTTGCATGTGGTAATTTGGGGACATTTGAATAGGACATTTCCTTTTCAGGTATTATTTATGTTTGAAATGATGAAAATTCCTTCCTTCAGAAATGAAGTGAGAGAGAAAGTGAGACAAAATAACAGCTTTTCTTCCATGCAGTGGGGATTTTAGGTGTCAAAACTACTTTCAACAAAACCATACATCTACTTAAAATATATCTTTTTTCTTGGGGACAATCATTTTATTTTTCAAACAACAGAAATAGCCTCCTTTGGAAGCAGAGTATTTTTTCTGGATTGAACATCTTTTCTATTAAAAAGGGTAATGTTACATAACAATTATTCTCTCCAAATCTCATCTATGATTGCTTGAGATGGGAAACTGGCTTAGAGAAAAGGCCCCTTTGCTTCTGCCTGTCTGAACATTTATCCCTTTTTTCCACTAATATTTAAACAAGAAAAAATATTTCTGGTTTCCAGATAGGTTTGGAAGTGTCAAAATACAAAATAACATAAGAAAAATTAGCTCCTTTGCTTCCAAGGTTCAGTCAGTTATTGTCCACCGTCCTACCTCCCAAGGGCCTCACACTGTTTCCATGGCCTTTCTCAAAGGCCATTTCTTCATTATGAAGTTAGCTCACATAATTGCTCCTAACTCCTCTTTCGTCCACACAATAAAACCTTAGGTTAGCAGGCACTGTGAGGGCATAGATTTGAGCTGAGGTTTTACCTCAGGCTGGGCCAGCCATTTTGGCAGTGAGCAAGCAGTCTAATTAAGAGTGTGTAGTATTAGTTCTCTAATTCTATCCATCAATTCTACTTGGCCTGTACCATTTTGTCTATGACTTTTTTCTTACATATTTTTCATATTCACTGGTTCATTGTTTTAACCCCATTTTTGCCTGCTTTATGTATACAACATATCCAAAATGTCTGAACAAAGATGCCATTCAAGAAACTGTCTTCAGAAATCACTTGCAGATTTGTAGACCAAATTTCCTTGTGACATTCTCATTAAAATTAATCAAGTTTGCTCCGCACACAAGCTGAGGAGAACTGCGCCGCACTGCATGCAGTTATATAAGTGGCAAAATGTCTCTATGTGAGACACTGTGCACTAGCGTGTCAGGCAAAAATAGTGCTTATATGCTACTGTGCAGTGGTATTGGGCTATTGTGCAGTAAGCATCACTAAAAACCCATTCACTGGCAGTACTGCTCAGTAGCGCAAGTTACTTTGCATTGAATTAGTACTTGGTTAACCAAGTACTAAACTTAATGTGCAGTAACTATGTCACATCAATGAATGTGTAGACATGCCCAGAATGTACTACCAGAAGTTCATCTGAGCACAATACCTTGTGTATTACAATCATGGATGCAGTTACACAGGTCTCCAAAGACAGGTCTTTTCACTAAGAACTCTCCACCTAAACTAACTTGACAGTGAAGGCATATCTGCAGTCAAACACCTACTTACTTTTGTAGGTAAGCTGCTGTCCTAATACCTTGGTGTGTGTGTAGGGGGAAAACATGATGTTAGCATTCCCTCGTGCTATTTCAGTCTCTACAAAGGCATTTTCTTAGAAGCTAGGTGACACTTTTATCTTTGATATTCTGGGTACTTTTAGCTAGAGCTGCAAATCCATACTTTCAAAATCTAGCCAGTGGATTGAAGAGCATTTCAAGGTTAGTGAAAAGAAAATAGCAGAATACTTTAGGTCTTACTGTGAATGGGGTATAGGGCCATGGCATTCTTAGTACATGCCTTCATGGTTGAGATAAAGGCTGTGGGGAGGGGAAGAGTAAGGACTGTAGGCATACCTATATTTCAAGAACCAAGAAAAACGAATGGGGTTCAATTAGTCATCTCTTGAAATTGCCGAAGTAGGGGCTTGCATGATTGTCAAAACAGTCTTCCCATCCTGACCACAGATATATTTTTGGGGTGCTTTTTGTGTTTCAGTAATAGAGAGTTCTATGGAAAGGGAAGAACATTATTTAGGATAATAGACGGTTGCAAAATTTGCAAAGATAGGCTTGTACAGGCTTGTATGCTGAATACACAATCTGAACCATTGGGAAGTGTGCCCATTTCTAATAACTGTTATTTGTTTTTATGTGGCAGTCATTGTGCTTTGCAAAGAAAGAGTCACAGAAATAATTCGTTAAGAGAGTGAGGTTTTTGGCACAGATTCCTTCTCTCAAGTCGCTGTGACATTCATATATAAGAAAAATTGATTTGGCATCTAGACAGGATTTCAGCATGCTCATGGTTATGGAAATCAGTTATGGGCATGGAGGAAACCTGTATATTGATTCATTAACTGACTTGATGACTTGTTCATACTTTAATATTTTCATGACCTTTTACCCAAAATAAAAATGTCAATAACTACCACTTGACTGTGCTGCAGCACCACCTAAAATGGTAAGACAAAAGGAATTTCCCATTATATAATAGTTATTACTTTCACTCATGATTTTCTTTCTTAAAGAAACAAAATTCTGCCATTGTGGAAAGTACCAAAAAAGTCTAATTCTCTGAATTCCTATAAGTTTTTAGGGTCACATGGAAGGGAAAAGAAAACCTCCCCAGGTAAATCTCAGAAGAAATTTAAAGTAGATAGGAGAAAGAGATCTTTATGCTGGACGTTGGGCTAAAACACCAAAATAACTGCACTACAAAAATGGGAGCCTGAGATCTGGCACAAGGGTACACACACTTTTTCATAACATGGAGCACATCTAAAAAAAAATCTCATGCCCCCTTCCCATATATGATTATGAAGACTATTTCTCATCCCATTTTCAAGCTTGCAGACAACCTCTGAAACAACGTTCCCATTTACACCTGTGAGAGATTCCACTACAACTGCACAGAAGTCAATGAATTAGTTCAGGGGAGCTGCTCTGAATTTATAATGGTGAAATGAACTAGGATTTTGCCCATAAATAAATTATTCCATAAATTTTGGAAAACTAAAGAAAAAAAGAGCTTGAAAACACATTTTTTCAGCTATACAGGTCAGAAGAGAGGCAATATAGAGATCAGCTTTTTAGATCCTGGTTCTATAGTCTGTGCCAGAGAGAGAGAGTGACTGAGAGGGAGCAAGAGACCGTGCACATGCACCTTGCATTAAAATCAGTTAGTTTCCACACAACCACATGTCTGAGAGGAATTTTCAGGACTGGAGCTTTAGATTATAAACTCTTTGGGGTAAGATTTGAAGCTCCTTCTGTGACTGAACATCACCGTGCGCCCTGGAAGTTCCAAGAGCAACCGCAGTAGAAGTGTAAAACACCAGTAGTAACTGAAGGACTAGGTAATACACTGCTATGTTTAGGAGAAGGCTTAGCCATTCAGGGATTTCTGCAGCACTAAACATAATGGCTCCTGAAAATGTGGCTAGTGAATTGTCTTTAATATAACTTGGAAGTGGCTTTTGGTTCCTTCAACTGCTATTTTAAGAATCTGCACTTTTAAAAATTAATTGGCTGGTAAATTGTATAATTAATACAGTTTAATTGTTATGCTCTGAAGTGCTGGGCAGAGAACTAAAATATGGGCTTCCAAAAATAACAGATAAGAAGAGCATTGGCACCTTGGTTAAGGCTGCCTTAAGCACCTTACACAACCTCCGACTGCCCTTCTTTTATACATTTGGGGAGAAGAGGGCATGTTTATTTTTCTGCTTACTCTATTCCCCTTTGTGCTTGTTCATTTGCTAGGTGCATAAAGGAGAAGAGGTCACTTGTGCACGAGGGATAAAGAGGTATTATGAATTCCAAAGTGTTTGCTTTATTGGGGAAAGCACACGGAGCAAGAAAGCCCAAGAACATAATGTGTGAATTTTTAATGAATGCTGTGCAAAGCATTTGTGAGATTTTTTTTTTCTACCTGTAGCAGCTTTATTCATTTGGGAGAGTACAAGATATTCTTTAGTAGTATGCTGGCTGCTGTTTAGGTTTAATAAATTAAGTCCTTTATATCAATGTAATATTCTTTAGACAAGCACTTCCAAGACAGATTAGAAATGAACTTAAGGGGATTAAAAGCTTCTCTTGCTAAAAACAATGTTTCAGATGGGAAATCCACTTATTTATGTCAATTTCAGTGGAATACATTTGTCTTTAATACGTTGCTACTGCTAAAGAAAGCTATGCTTTCCCTATGACTACAGCCTTTCTGGCTCTGCTTACAAATGCAGTAATGTTTATTTTCTTTAGTACAGTAAGTCACTCTGGGAAAGATTGATGGCTTCCATAAAACTGTGATCAACCATTTTCTTTCTTATTTAGAGAAAACAAAAGGTTTAATGGGTCTGGTATTTTAAATATTATCAGTTGCATTGTAAATGAGGAATCTGAGAAAAGTAACATATGACATACAAAGAAAAATCCTCTAACATTTTTTCTACTTTATTACAGGCTAAAATCACCTATAGAAAAAAATTTACTCTCTGTGAAATCCAAAAAAAAAATGAAGTCGTAAAGAGAAGAAAGAAACTGAGATTAAAATTTCAGAGGGATTTTAGGTAGATGAAATAAGGCTCTTCCTACTGGAAATTGGTTAAGACAACAGAGTTGCTCATTTTACAAAAAATGGAAGTAAGTTTCAACTAGTAAAGGGATCTACAAACACAAAGCACTTCTTAATGATGAGATTATGCTTCCTCTACCACACATAAGCAGAAACCCTCTCTCTCTTCCAAACTGGGATCACCCAAACCATTTCTCTTTTTATTCACAGCTCCTCAGACCATCTCTTCTCTTGTTTATTTTACAACTACAGAACTGCTTTCATGGAAGAGTAATATTAGCAATATAGCATTGTTTATTTTAATGCAATTAAATAAATGTTGAAGGCCAATCAGAAGACAGAGTCATGGCTTTGGAACAACTTGTTCAGAATCTATTGTATGCTAACCTCTTATTTAAACTACATATCCCAGCAGTAAGTAGAAGCCTGTGGTGCAAAATGGCTATCTATAGACAATGCTTATTTCTTAAAGCCAACAGCTCCCAAGCACTTTAACACTATCCAATTAAGTGAGCAAGGGCAGTCTCATAGTTAGACCTGAATGAATAATAAGAAAAGCTATCTGAATATTAAGTCAGTTTTAAAAAACATATTGTAGTCTGATAGAGGTTAAAGCCCTGTCATTCTCTCTCTCTTGAACTAGTTAAGCACTCAAACTTTATGTGCATGAAAGTTTGAATCATCTACTCAGAGCAACTGTCACTAATTGCAAAAAATCATTTTGGCAGGTTGCTTGGTGTGATGACCATGGCCACAAGTAGGAGAGAACCTCATGGAAGAAGGGATACATTTTTTAACCAGGTGGACCCAATTTCCTCTTTGTTTGGTATTGGACTGAGAAAAATATGGACCACTAATTCCCTTTTCTTTTCTGTTATTACTCAACTGTGGAAGCCTAGTTTCAAGAGAAAACAAATGAACAAATAAGAAGCAAAGTGAAAAAAATCTGTCTTACCTTAACATTGAATAGGACAACAGACCACAGAGCAAGCTTGGTCACCTGGAAGCCTGGAGGAAGGAGGACATTCCTGTGAATCTCCAAGCATTCTGGGAAGGGCAGGAGTATAGAACTTTTGATTATGGTCTTCTCTTTCCTTCAGTGCTTGGAAGAAGGGGAGAGAAGAGGGTTATCTGACTTGTGCGGATAAATAGATAAAAATAAAGAGGTGAAAAACATTAAATAATTTAACTGGAAATTACTTGCTCCAGTCTATTTACTGCTATTTCCATGTGACGTCCATTAATTATACTATAGGCCACTTCTGTAACAAACATACATTTCTTCATAAGAATCTGTAAACATTTTGATGATTAATTGTGTCAGATCACTGAGAGGGA